TGACTGAAATTGATTGTCTTTGATTCTTTAGCATAAACTCTTAAAATCATGATTTAGAATCACTTCACAGAATTAGAAAAAGTTACTTTTTCAGCTCTCAATCTCTTAGTTAATTTGAGAGAATCACTTCACAAAATCAGCAGAAAATTACTTCTCTCTAAAAAACTATTTGGCAGAGAGCGGAGAACCGAGAGCTCTACCAAACAGGACCTTAAGTATACCTTTCTAGTATAATAAACAGACTTGTCCCCTGTACAGCTTCTCTTACAGAGCCATTTCATGAGCTAGTGTTTGGCAGAGAACTGAATCTTTTTGACATGTTCTTCCAAAGAAGACCTAAAAAGTCTAGCTCTTGTGGCCACACCCAAAGCAGAAACACAGGGTGCTGGAACTGTAACTGTAAGCACATCACAATTACTCGTACCAAGTGTAAGTCTTAATTCGAATAATACGCAGGTTCCATTATAAAGAACATAATCAATTCATCACCGCCATGGATTTGATGTTAGTCTAGTCCAGCCTACCAACCTGGACCAAATATATGAACTGTTCCTCCAACCTAATAAAAAAAATGCAAAACTATAAAAACATTGCTAACATACTGGGTTGAGTTTGTCTTAGAAATATATATCAGTAATTTTTTTCTCTTAATCTATAAAAACATTCCTAACATACTGGTTGAGTTCTTAGGAATATATATGAACGTACAAGTATCAAAATCGGTAAGAAAAAGATATCAGTACTTGCTTTCTCCTATCTATAAAAGCATTCCTAACATACTCGTTGAGTTTTTAGAATATCCGAATATATGAACGTACAAATACGAAAATCAGTAAGAAACAGATATCAGTGATTGCTTTCTCCTATCTATAAAAACATTCCTAGCATACTGGTTGAGTTTTTAGGAGTATAGTATGAACGTATACAAATACAAAAATCAGTAAGAAATAGATATCAGTGATTGCTTTCTCTTATTATCTAGTATAAGCAAGCATGCTGTAGAATTTATCCAAATATAACTCCAGCACAGCTTCGCTATACCCCTTCGTCCTCAAATACAATGCATTCTGGCCATTTTCAGACAAAATAAGGGAGAATGCAATAGACGCATGTACTCCTCACTTGCCGTCCTAATGTATTGAAATCTGATTCTTTTTCACATGATTAAAGGGTGAACTATTAGTCTCCTTATACAAAATATGGCAAGTACATGAATTATTTTCCTTATACGAAATAATCATGTATTTTATTTAAGTAAACATTATCTTCTTATTCCCCGAATATACTATATTTGAGTACAAATTTCAAATGCCAGAATATACCTTATTTCAGGAATGATGCTAGAGCTCTGGAGGTACCTGTGTTCATCGCTTTTCTCCCTTGATCTTAAGTTTGCCTCATCTGTTGTCTGATGGATGGAGATTTGGGTGGGGGATTTTTTGATGTAGACGGGGGATTTCCGTTGGATTTGAGGGATTTTGGGTTGTGGCTGTCATATTATGTGTTATCTTTTCGTTTACTAAATGGAGAGCAAACAATGGTTTGTATTCATGCCATCTTAGTATGAATGAAGTGATAACAAACAAGCATGGAATTCGATTTGCTGTCAATTCATCAATCTTTTATGATGTCACAGTACTTGTATTCTGCCATTTTGTAGCTGCAGTATAGGTTATTGTGATTGTACTTAGGCTGCAATGCTCATCGAAGTATGATTTGTTGCACCCCTGAACTACTTCGATTTTTACGGTCTCCGAAACAAAATATTTTTCGTGATATTCTTGTAGTTGCTTTACAACTGTAGTTCCAGAGTATGAATTGTGATGCATTGCAGAGTGACAAACCTTAGAATTTGCAACTAGAGATCAGAAATTTACTCTGGTTATTTCTATCCAATTACTTTCAGTTAATTGATGATAGGATGAAAAGAATATGATTACCTCCCTAATCTGAATCCATTGGAGATAAAGAATGTGAATAGATGGCTTACTCCAATAAGCTGCTGTTAGCATGGTCGTACCGTGATTTGCATCTTTATAATTCACTTTTCCGAGGAAGGCTTTTCTGTTTGTTTCTGATCACATATGTTTGCAACTGAATACTAACACAGTTTTTCTTTTCGAGAGCAGACCACTGGTTCTCTCTATTTCTAGGCTGCTCATTTGGCTGGTCCAGTCTGGGTTCGTTGGCATCTTGGTGTTGTGCTTGGCTAGAGGCCATCGGCCTCATTGCCGGAATTGGCAGATAGTAACCTCCTCAGTTTATTACTAATCTTGCCACATGCTGGAAGCCTAGAACTGTATACAGACTGATTCAAAAAAAAGGAACTGTCTATATACTACAGTGATCTTCATGTGTTCTGCTGTACAACTTCATTTGATCCTTACATAGCAAAATGAAAATTGCTAGCTGAAAATAGTGGGAAGGTTCCTGTTGGATATTGCACTGTCTACTTCAATTGTCATTTTATTTCTAGAACCAAATAACAGCTGATGTTATGATCTCTTGGGTCGACTCAAGTCCTCATATACTTCTCTGCTACTGCTATTACCTATTAATTTGTTTCTTATCTTAGTACAGGCTAGCATTGAATTGGAAGTGCAAGGCATCTGAACTAGTGTGACTCTGCATCCTAACTCATTTATAGTATATTTCAGCTATGCATCTGAACTAGATGTGTTTATAGTATAAACATCAGGCATTAGCTGCTTGGAATTACAGTACTTTCCTATTGAAATCAGATAATGTTGCATTGTTGTTATAGGCATAGTATCCATTGACTATTTAGGTGACCGCTTGAGTTGAGTGCCTGGTTGATGCACAACTATTTCACCATTGCATTTGGTTTTTATTCTTGTGTTATATAAACTGAACCCGGTGCCTTTTTTGTTTGGATGCATGTTTCACCTCTCTGCAGGCTTAATGAACCCTACCGAGGATGGTTTCTCGTGGGCGCTCCAGAGGATTCAGAAATAGGAACCAGCCTGCTCTCGGGGAATGCAACATGAAGCTTGTGGTGGCACTCGGCGTGCTCAACGACTGCTTCAACCCGGTGAAGGATCGGCAGACCAAGATTAACATGCTCCACCAAGTTTTGTATAGCCTTGTGTAAGTCTTTTTGAGTCAGAGTGAGACGTACACATTTTTTGTATTGAACCTGAAATGTCATTTAGTTATATATTATGTCTTGATTCTGCCGCTTATATAGAAGATGCGATTTCTGCTAGCTACATGTGTGTGTGATCTTATGCTCTCTGTTTTGCACTATGCTCTCTGTGTTTTTAGCCTTTTAGGCCACATCACAACCCCCTAAGTGCTGGATCTGCTCTCTATGCACACTGAGTAACCAGGGCCACACCCTGCTGTTGGAGCAAGCACAAGCAGCAATCCATCTTTGCCATCCTGACTTTGTTTATAGCTTCCATGATTACAGATTTCATGGATCTTGGTTCTCCTAGTCTTTCATCTCAGCTGCTAATTTGTTCATTGTTGCTTCTTTAGATAAATCAATTTACTAGAGAAATTGATTCAAAATATTGGTGTACTAACCTTGACTGATGATGTATAAATCAGACTTGTAGTGCTTGTTCTTTAAATTTCCTTTGCAATCTGATTTCTGCCCATGTCCCCTGCTCTATGTGAGGAGAGCAGAGCTTTTCCCCACGCAGAGCAGATCTATTTTGTTTGCTTTACTTCCTTCCTAAGTCTTTCTCTGATTTATTCCTATGAATTTCCTGGTGTTAGACTGTTTTTCTGGGTTGCTGCATGTTTCATGGGCTACTTTACCATTTTAGTTATTGGGTCTACTATTTTACTCTTCTTGTTGCACTGTAGATCTGCTTTGCGTGGGCCTTCTTTTAAAATCAAGTGTTTTACAGGCAGCCAACAACTATGTGCTAGCTTGTGCTAAAACACACGGTTTTTGATATGTTGAAAATCATGTGTTCTACAAACCGCCAACAACCATATGCTAGCTTGTGCTAAAACATATGATTTTTTTCTCGGTTACAAATCATATGTTTTGTAGCCAGCAAACAACCATGTGCTGGCTTTTGCTAAAACAGACCTTTCTCCTATATAGTCCTCGAGATTCATGAAATTGCCAGTATTAGGAATTGTCGTCCTCTCAACTTTCAAATCTGAAACACAAGCTAATACATAAGACAAGAAACGATCACGTGCATGAATGTCCGGTTCTCACCTTTTCAGGTTCTTGTAGACGGTGTGTCGCTCTTGGCCTTGCCGTCCGACGCGACTTGATGAAATCCAGGAGGCAGCTCTTGACCTCCAATCCAAACGACGCACACGAATGGCGATTTGTTACAGTTCAGATTGCGAGCGACGAGAACGAACGGCGGTTCCTCTGACGGGCTGCGCCACAGCGCCAGGGTGCAGGGATGACTCGAACTCTCGATGGAGGGGAGCGGACGTCTGTTTCGCATGCATGAGAGGCAGCCGATCGACCAGAGCGTGATTAGCTGTGTTTATTGTTGCGTGATTTACGTGATTTGCTCGACTTGATTTGCATGCGCGGCGTATGAACGTACAGTATGAAAATCAGTAAGAAATGAAGTAGATATCAGTAATTGCTTTCTCTTATCTATATATGGAAACATTCCTAACATACTGCGGTTGATTCTTAGGAATATATGGACGTGAATGAAAATCATTAAGAAAAATAGATATTGTCATATCGGCCGGTGTGATTGCTTTCTCTATGACTCCAGCATGGCGCATGCCGTAGAGTATCCAAATATCGTCATGTTCGCTTCGCTTATAAACCGTACTTTTTCAGTCAACAAACAATATTTTTCTCTTACAACAAATCAGCAACAGTACTTTTAGTCATAACTTATTAGCTAAGCGAACAAAGCATATAACTCCAGCAGCTGTATATATAACAGCCACGACCACGAGTCTGCGACAGCAATCGCCGATTTACCGTCAACAGCACACTCCATCAACAACTTCCGATACCTCTGAGATAAACCTGCAGCAAGATGAGGACTAGTCGCCTGTTCCTATTCGCCATCGCCCTCCTGCTAGCATCTTCAGGTACTCCAATCCTTGGGCCGAATGCTGCTCATTTCGATTTCGATTTAATGCATAATGTTTTCAGAGCTGGTAATGATGTATCCTCTTCCTACTTTGTTCATGTCGAAAATTCTACAGATTTGACGACAAAGGCGTCGGCCGGATGCCCGCATCCCCGTTCGACAATCCTGTACCCGGACTTGCCGTGTGATCCCGAAGTCTGTGCGAAGAGTTGCGCCAAGGGATTGAACAACGGCAACGGCACCTGCATGAGTCCCATTGGATGTGATTGCGAGTACTGCGTGCCGGCAACCGTCCCAAAACGCCCGCCTTTCTCTACCCGAAAGTCGAAACTGAAAGTAGTAGCTGTGTAATCAAATGTAGCAGAAGCCGATTGGCTGGCGTTCGCGAGTTTTTCACCAAAGCAATGAGCAATGACAGAGATGTAATAATCATGTACTAGCGGCAGACAGTTTTGAGCAGAGAAACTCTGTAATTTTGCGTCAGAAAATGTGATTGTGCAATGGAAAATCGGTAGTGGTGCTCTCTACTGAGGTCGGACGCGTGGCTTCGCTAGGCCTGCAGACCAGGTATGATCGGCCCATTATTAAAAAAAATCGAACGCTTCCACCGGGACAGAACTGCCTCGTACCGTGCCCATGCGCCTCACGCCGGACCCGCTTCGCGCCACGCGCCTCTGCGCCTCACGTCTCACGCCGGACCCGTCTCGTGCCACGCACCCCTCCCATACCTCACGTCGCGCGCCGCCCGCACCTCGCGTTGCACTCCCTCGCGCCCCCGGCAGCAGCAAGTAGATGAGCACATATTGCAACCGTATGTTTCATGTGTTTAAGATGTATGTTGCATATGTTTCATCTGAATGTTGCAAAAATAGATCTGGTGTTGCATATGTTACAATGACTATACACGTAGTGTTGCAAGTGTATGTTTCAAATATTTCAATTGTTTCAAACGCATGTTGCAAGTGTTAATCTGGATGTTGCATATATGTTGCAGTGGCTATACACGTATGTTGCAAGTGTGTTTTCTAAATGTTTCATCTGTTTCATCGGGATGTTGCATGTTGTCATCTGGATGTTACATATGTTGCAGTGGCTATTCACGCATGTTACAAGTGTATGTTCCAAATGTTTCACCTATTTTCGCAAAGAAAAATGTCTCACCTATTTCAGACGTATGTTGTAATTATTTTATATGGATGTTGCACATGTTGCAGTGGTTATACACATATGTTGCAAACATATGTTTCAACTGTTTCACCTTGTTTCAGTATTTTGCAACAAATGTTGCTCCCCATGCGCTCTAACTCGCGGGCATTCATGCGCTGCACGCACCCATCCAGCGATGTCTATCTGTGTCATGCGAGCCAGCTCCAATAGTAGGACATGCACGCAACGAGCGGTAAACACCCAAATTGCCGAGCACTTCCTGGTCAAAGTACATGCGCACATGCAGAGCGCTATAGTGGGCCAGCACCTATGGACGCAGAACCAGGCGCACCTGCACCAACAAGCTTTGGTCCCTCACGGTGGAGCATGCAGCCGGGGTCAACATGGGCACGTGCACTATGCTCCCACCCTCTCTCTCTCATGCAACTAGACGGGTCCCATACACGTGCTTTCCCGTGCTGGCGCAGCAGCAACACGCATGGACCCAGCAGCAGCAAGCGCCGCGTGAAGCACACGGGCAGGCGCAACAGCAGCAGCACACGCGGATCTAGGCGCGAAGAATGTGGGCAGGGTTGGAAGCCAGCAGGCGTAGCAGCAGCACGCGGGTGCGCGGGGACGTCCGGAAGCTAGCATGGCCAAATTGTTTCAGCGTTAAGGCCCATAAGGCTACAACGCCATTTGGCTGCACTAGACTGCGCGCGGCTCAGACAGAAATCCACGCGTCGTAGATTGTGCATCATAACATGGGCTTCTACTGGGCCTTTGCATAGTCTCTCTGTTGGAGTACGTGTGTGATTAATTTGGGAGGGCCAATTCAAGGTCCACGCTGAAAGCAGTTCCTGTACAGGACTGGTCTCTGCACTTTTCTTCCTAACAAAGCAGCTGAAGTCAACTGGCAGCAAAAAAAGAAGAAATGGGGGACAAGGATCGGAACGATGAGATCATGGAATCGTGTTGAGATCGCAAAGAAAAGATGGGCCATGGATGCATCTGTTGTTACCTTCTATTCATGTAGGGAGAAAGAGAGATCAGGGGTGAGAGGAAGAAAAAGATAAGCATGACCTGTGTATGAGCAAGAAAAAAGAGAGAATGTCCATAATCTACCAGTTTTTTTTTAACCTTCAGCTTTTTGCCATCATTTGATGACCATCCAAAACTCAAGACGTGCTTTTTAGAATCTCTAACTGAGACAGAGAGGAACTAAATTTCATCGTGGTTTAGATTGATGGGGTCAAGCCGTCAAGCATACCATTTTAGCAGTTAAGGGTGTTGACCAATGATCATCAAATATCAGGCTATCATCGTGAGCTGCTTTATCGGTTAACCCAATCGTCACAAGGGATGGCCAGGGGATAATCCTGCTCTAAAAAAACTCGTTCAGTTTCCTCCAAACCAAACAATGCTCAAAATATATTATTTCGATTAGGGATGAAAACAGACGACAACGGACGAAAACCCCTTTCCCGTTCTATTTCTATATTTTTTTGGCGAAAATAGGGTCGGGATTGAAAACAGAATCGGGATATATGGATATACGAAAACGGACAATCACTTACGGAAAGCCGAAAAATTTAGGATTATGCATGAATAAAGTCGCACAACAAAATATATGTATGAACATATTCACTTGCATACTATGTGTGTTAACTTGTTAACATGCATAATTGGTAATTATTAGGTGCACTAATGTAACATAAGGACAAATAATTGTTAGGCATATCCTGGATAGATCGAAATCAGGATGAAAACAGGATAAATATATAGGTTCATCTCGAGTGGAAACGAGATCAAAACGACACGAAACACCCTCTCCGTTTATGAAAATACGAAATCGAAATCCCGCAAATACATAGAGGGGAGGGACAAAAGTAGAAATCCCGCAAATCCACGTTTCGAGTAACTTGAGATACTCGAAATTAATTTGGGTAGTTCGGGTAACAAGCCCAGTACCCGAATTACCCATATAACCCGATATGTAGAAACGTGGCACAGTCCAGTACTCAGACTGGCCCCATATGATTGGCTAGTGTGATGTGTTAGAATAAACCCTGAGCACCCGCTAACCATAGAAGGCAACTTAGACTGATTAGTGGCTAAGTATGGCAGGCGGCATGTCCCTGGATGTTGGGATGGCAACAACCGATCCGGGCATACCGTGATTGTCTCAATTAGTTTGTAACCATGTATGACTGCATGTAATTTCTTTATAATGAAAAGAGAGACACCAGAAAACGCTGCCGCTTGCAGCACCAAATTACTTGTGTTTGCGTCTCATTGTTCATCCTCTTCGTAGTTCGACAATTGGCATCGGAGCCGGTTTCCATCGTCGCCATGGCATCCCGATCGCCCTCAAGGAGAAGTCGGTGATCTCGATAACGAGGAAAAAGCCCGAGCCTTCAACCTCGCCGTCACGACGACGTCGTGGGCGCTCCAACAGCCGACGCCGCTCTGGCTCACGAGTCGTGGAGCGCGTCATCGAGCGACCATCCGCGAACGTCGCGTGGCCGATGCTCACGCGGACGAACTACCCGGAGGGCGTTGGTGATGGAGGTGAACTTCCGGACGCTCCGGTCTGGGGCCGCCGTTGACATCGGCATCGGCGAAGACACCGATGAAGATGAGTACCAGCAAGACCGCCAGAGCCATGGCGGGTCTCTGCGCTTCGGTCCCCTCCGAGATGTGGGGACGCTTTCGATCGCATAGCGGACCGTGAAGGAGGCGTGGGGCCCGTCAAGGTGCTCCGAGTCGGCGACGGCGCTTGCCGCGACGCCAGCGCCAGCCAGCTTCGCCGCGAAGTTCGGCGCGCTTCGTCTTCAAGGAGGGCGAGTCCGTCTCCGAGTTCGGCATCCGCATCACGTCGCTTCGCCGTGAACCTCCGCACCCTCGGCGACCACATCTCGGACGCCGAGGTGGTAAAGAAGCTCCTGCAGGTGGTCCCTAAACGCTTGTCCCAGGCCACCGTCTCCCTCAAGATGTTCCTCGATCTGAACACGGTCTCGATCGAGGACGTCATCGGCCGTGCGCGTGTTCGAGGAACGCGGCAAGCGAAGGAGATCACGCAGACGGCATGGGGAGGCTCACGCTTTCTGCGAGGAAAGACTGAAACCAGCCGGAAAACCCGCCCCGGCAGCGAGAGCTCCGGTGGCGGCTCGGCTCCAACGGTCGTGGAAAGCCACGAGGGCGCGGGCGAGGCGGCTCGCTCGGATCCGGCAGCCGCGATGGCCGTGGACGGCGCTTGTGCGCAGCACCGCACGCCGGCGGCGGCAAGCCGCCGCGCGGTGACCGCTGTGATTCCTGCGGGAAGACGGGCCACTGGGCCAAGGATTGCCGTGGCAAGAAGAAAAAAAAGGCCGCGGCCCATGTGGCCCAAGTCGAGGAGGAAGAGGATCGGGCCCTCATGTATGTCTCCGTTGAGGCTGAGGTAAACCAGTCGCCCGATTTCGTTCCCCATTCCACACCACCGCTGCCGCCGCCGCGCGCCGTCAATCCTCCACCACGCGTCCACCTCGTCGAGCAGAAGGTCCTTCTCCATCTTAGTGATGAAGAGAGGAAGGACGTGGGGCCCCGCCGCTGGGTCCTCGACACCGGCGCGACGAATCACATGTCCGGGTCGCGCGCTGTCTTCGCCGAGTTGGACAAGGGCGTCACCGGCACCGTCAAATTCGGCGACGGGTCGGTGGTCAACATCGAAGGGAAGGGGACGGTCCTCTTCGCCTGCAAGACTGGCGAACACCACCGGCTAGAAGGAGTCTACTTCATCCCGCGGCTGACCACCAACATCGTCAGTCTCGGGCAGATGGATGAGGACGGCTTCAAGGTGGACATCGAGGCCGGGATCCTGCGCCTCTACGATCTGCAGCGACGCCTGCTCGCCAAGGTACACCGGTCTCCAAGCCGCCTCTACTACCTCGACATGACCATCGCCGCCCCGGTGTGCCTCACCGCGCGTGTCGGCGACGTCGCCTGGAGGTGGCATGAGAGGTTCGGGCACCTAAATTTCAAGTCACTGCGGAAGATGAGCCGCGGTGAGATGGTGAAGGGCCTGCCGGAGATCGACCACATCGAGCAAATCTGCGAGGACTGCGTTCTCGCCAAGCAGAAGCGAACGCCGTTCCCACAGGCTGCCAAGTTCCGGGCGACGGAGGAGCTCGAGCTGGTCCACGGAGACCTCTGCGGGCCGATCA